GTGCAACGACAACAAGGTACGATCCGAGATACGATCCGAACCTCAATCAACGCTCGAGGTAACCAGAGGCCAGAAAATCATGGCGACCCCCGAAGATTCCGAGCCTTCCAGAGAAAATATCGACGTGAGAAAGGAGCTGAGGACGCTTAGACAGCGACGGACGATCCGACGAAACAGAATCAAGACTGAGATCGCCGGTATTGAAGGTCTGAGCGCCGGAAATCCGAAGTTCCGCGACGATCAGAGTCCCGACGTTCTCTTGGAGGTGGTGTCACAGCATCTCTCACGCGTACGCGAGTTCACCGAGCAGGTTTGTGGGCTGCTTGATGATGAAGATCTGGAGAGAGAGATCACCGAGTCCGAGGCGTTCGAGGCGGAGATTGATGCCGTTATCGCGATGATTTCGGCTGTGGCAAAACGGAGCGCGAATTCATCGGCGAGCGCCGAACAGACATTCTACGGAACACCGCAAGGCGTGCGGCATGTCCGCTTTCGGCCAGCCTTCGAGTCCACAATGATTCCACCGTCGACCAACAGGCAGACTCCCGGGACTCCGATTTCAAACGACAGTTCGAGCTCGACGAGCGTTCACCGAGCCGCCGAAGAGAACATCGTCTCAAGACATCCCGTCGAGAGGGCCGTACCGGCGCCTTCGAATAGTGCATTCGCGCCGACACCTGGCACGATTGCGCGGCTTCCACGCGAGCTGGATATATCGCCTGAAGTGTTTTCCGGCGAGAGACTCAAATTACGCTCATTCATCACGCAGTTCAGGTGCTTCGTGGGCAAGAGACCCGACGCCGCTCCGATCGAAAAATTGATGATACTTCGTAAATACCTCCGAGACGGACCGAAAGATATCGTCCAAGCCTTGGAGTTAACCGACGCTAATTACAAAGTTGCCATGACCCTTCTCGAGAACAACTATTCCCGGGTTGACACCGAGACTCAAAGGCTACTCGCCGAATTACGAAACCTACCGAAGATCGCGAAAGCGTACGACTTCGCGTGTCTGCGAAAGTTCTTGACGTTGATTCAAGGACACACAGCCATCCTCACAGCGAATGGTATTCCGCTCATCTCATACGCTCTGACGTTGAAATCATCGATGGAATCGGCTATGCCCCCCCGAATGCGACAAGATTTCAAAGATGAACAGCGTATGGAAGAGAAGTTCACGCGCTCGTCCGAAACAATGCCGGAGGGAAGACCCGATGCGATAATCGACAAAACCGTCCTCGAAGTTGAGAAACTGATGAGATTCCTTCGTCGGCGAGTACAGGATCTGGAGGATAATAAGTACCTCGATGCGATCACAAATCCGTCCGAGCACAAGAAATTCGACAGTCAAAGGAAACCGATGAGGGAACGTCGCCTCGACGCAACAGTAGCGGGAGTTTTGGACAAATCCCAACGAAGCCGCTTCAAGATACGTCCATGCCTATTTTGTAAAACAGAAGAGCACAATTCCTCTCACTGTCAAGCTGAGCTTTCGCTCGAGAAACGAAGAGAAATTCTGCGAGACCAGAAACGATGCCCCAGCTGCTTCATGTCAGCTCATCAAAGTCCGAAGGATTGCCGCGGCCCGAGATTCCCGTGCGCCAAATGCAACTCGAACCAGCATTATGCACCGATGCACCCAAAACCGACACCGGCAGCAAGCGCTGGGATCGGGGAAGTGTCCGCTGGTCTCGACTCGACGAGCAACGCGCTTCTGTGGACATCATCCGCCTACGTAGTAAATGGGGGACTCAAAATACCCATTCGAATCTTCATCGACGGAGGTAACTCCATCAGAGTAATGCTCCCGTCTCTACGAAGGATGCTCCGGGAATCACCCGTTGGCGCCCGAGACCTCAACCTACAGGCCTTCGCGAGCTCGCACTCAATCAGGGGTGCTCCGGTCTTCAACGTCCGCCTCACGGGACCGTTCGATAAGAAGGTGATTGAGATCTTTGCGCTCGAGCATGAATTCGGGATACATCCTCCGAACGATCGGCCACCACGCGTCGCAGAGGCCATACGCCGATTCGACGAGTCTCGACCTGTTGCTGACCGAACACTTGTCGATGGATGGACAGAGTCGCCCCCGGCTATCCTTGTTGGAATGGACCAAATGCACAAAATTGTGAATTGCTTCCAACTGCCCGTAGCTGTCGTCGACAATATAGTAGCGCAGCCCAGCCGATTCGGATGGCTCATCGGCGGTCCGACATCAACCGAAAATCACGTTGACGCTACAGTGACGGCAGCTCACGTTCTCTGTTGCGCGGCTGCAACGAAATCCGATCCACTGCCGATCACTCCGGCTGCTAAAGCTCTCCAAACCCTATGGAGTCTCGAGTCTGTGGGCATAGCGGGACCCCCCTCTGCCACGCAAATGTCTGCAGACGACGACTCGGCGCTCCGGCAGTTTAGATCCGGATTGGAGTTCCGAAACAATCGATATGCCGTATCGTTCCCGAAACGGGAAACAATCTGCTTGCTGCCGAGCAACAAGGAGGCGGCACTTAGGAGACTTGAGCGTGAGCTCTCGCAATTGACGAGGGAACCGGCGAAATATCAGCGTTACCATCAGGAGATTATGAAATTCATCGACAAAGGCCACGCTGCCGAAACGAAGACGCATTCTCTCGAAGCCCCCGCGGCCGTTGACGGAACGTACTTCATGCCGCACCATGAGGTGATCACCAGAAAGGGAAACATTGAAAAGTGGCGGATCGTTTTCGATTGTTCATCGAAGGAAAAGGGAGCCACTTCATTGAACGAGCACCTACTCCCTGGCCCAAATCTGAATCCGCAGTTAGTCTGCTGAATTTTCGAACGCATCCCGTGGCTGTTTCATCCGACATCACCCAAGCCTATTCGCAGTTGATCCTCCGAGACGAGGATCGTTCGCTCTTCCAGTTTGTTTGGAGAGCACCTAGTGAACACCAAGTCAAGGTATTGTAACGGGGCTTCCTTTACGTGGGCTAGGCCCGACGGATAGGGCTAAGAGCAAGGACGGCAGGTCTGGGAAACTGTGGGGCGGATGTCTCACCAGCAAGTTGCTGACGTCGCGGGGTCGTAGGTCGAAGGGATTACACGAGTTGTCTGGGCAAAACCTCGCACACAAGTTGTTGGGTCTCGCGTTGCGATCTCTTTTTATTCGGGTCTCCCTCTCTTAATTCTATTGCAATTCTATTGGCCCCCGACGCGCTCGACGGCCACGCCGCCGTTCGAGCTCGGCACCATCCTCTGATATCGTATCTCACGCGCACACGTCGTTTTGTTACCCTTCCGCCTTCGTCCCGGGTTACCCTGCGCCGCCCGCGCTGCGGCACCAGGCTTCGACATTGAATTCCCAGCGCACATCGTTTCCTTACAATCTCTCTCTTCCGCCTCGGTTTCGCTCCGGGATCGGCAGGGCGCACTACAACTATGCGCTCACTAGATCTGCCGACCTCGGTTCCTGCCGGGGCCTCTGTTCCTGATTTCCAAATTCGACTAGCCCTCTAGGTCTTCTCTCAGGGTTCTCCTTCCTCGACCGAATCTCCGTCACAGTATATCAAATGCAGAGGGTTATTTGGGGAGCGGCGTCATCGGGTTTCTTGCTCGCTGCAACGATTCGTGAGAACTTGAAACGAGGCACTTCGACATGCTTGGAATTCGGAAATTCTTTGTACGCTGACGATTTCCTCCAAAGTTTTCCGGATGAGGAACAGGCGATCGAGTTTGTGGATCGGATTCGCACCGTGCTCGGTTCAGCCGGGATGACACTCGCCAAGTGGAAAACGAACTCTGGCAACGTGGCCGACCACCTCCTGAACACCGGAGCAGACCCGGAAACATTCGAGGAGCCGAGGACCGAAGTACTCAAGGTTCTCGGTCTGTTGTGGGAACCTGTGGGAGATGTGTTTCGTTTCACAATCCCCCCCGCCTGTGAGCGCCTCGAAATGAAACCTTCGCTAACGAAACGGGAGGTCCTCAGCGCGGTCGCGTCCTTTTATGATCCCCTGGGATGGCTGATGCCGTTCACCATCCGCGGCAAGATCCTTGTTCAAAGGATGTGAACGGAAAGGCTGGAATGGAGTCAGGTGGTCCCTGACGAAATCCGAGAAGAAACGATTCAGTGGACTACGGAAGCTAAAGATTTCGACCGATTGAAATTCCGTCGGCACTACAGCGCTTCTCGGAAAACCCCTATAGCATATCGCCCCCACTTGTTTGGAGACGCGTCTCCGACGAGCCTTCAACATTTTCACTCGTCATGGCGAAATGAAGGTTGGCTCCCCGTGATCGGATTACCATCCCCCGACTCGAGTTGCTCGCTGCTCTGATTGCGGTGCGACTGGAAGAATTGCGACTCAGATTCTGAGCATTGCGTTCGAAGCCTACAGATTCTACACCGACTCGGCGATCACTTTCCATTGGGTCACATTCGCGAACCCCGGAGCATGGAAAACGTACGTCAGCAACCGGGTCACCGAAATACGGGCCAACTCCAGGCCGGAGGAATGGTTCCACGTCAAAGGCAAAAGTAACATCGCCGACCTCGCCACTCGCGCGGTGAGCGCTGAGGCGCGCGAAAAATCTACAGAATGGTGGATCGGCCCAGAGTGGCTGCGTCTGCCGTTGGAGCAACAGCCATTAAGTCGACCGAACGCGAGCGACGACGACGTCGCTGGAGCCACAAGTGAATTGAGAGCGATTGTCGCTCCAATCGTCTCGCAGCGGCCTCCTCTCGACCTGGCTCGCCATAGCTCCGCGGGCCGTGCCGTTCGCGTCCTGGCAAACGTGTTGCGGTTCTGTTTGTTAGTTAGGCGCTCGCCTTTGCCGGACTTCAAGCTGCTCCGCCAAACAGCTGAGTGTCATCTGATTCGCTGGGCTCAATGTGAGCACTTCCATACGGAAATCGAGGCCGTTCGATCAAAGGAACGGATCCCGGGAAACTCTGAATTGGGCGACTTCGACCTCTTCGCGCAAGGACCCGGCTGACTCGAGGACTTTTTTTCTCGTACAACGAGAAAAATCCGGTCGTCATACCCGGAGGTTCCAGACTGGCTGAACTGCTCGTGGTTGTCGCTAACCGAGTGAACGCCCATTTCGGGGTGTCGACCGTCCTCTCGCAGCTCCGTCGGCGCTTTTGGCTGACCAGGGGTCGGCAGATCGTCAGGGCAATCCTCAGACGTTGCGTGGTGTGTCGCAAGCGACATGGAGCGCCGGCGACGGACGCAAATCGAAGCACCCCAAACCCCACGTCAAGGGCGGAGCTCCGCGACCCGTTCCATGTCACCGGGGTGGACTTCTGCGGTCCCTTTCACATTCGTCAACGCCAGGGCACGCATAAGGCCTACGTTGCTGTCTTCACTTGCACGACAATTCGAGCCGTACATCTCGAGTTAGCTCCCTCGCAATCAACTCCGCAAACACATTTGGCCATACGAAGATTTTAAGCATCACACCCCGCTTGCACTCGATTCGTATCCGATAACGGCGCATCCGTCGTGAAGGCAGCTACTGAACTGAAACGCCTGTTCAACACCGTCAGGAATCCCGACGTCCGGGAGGTTCTGAATGGTCGAACCATCGACTGGTCATTCATAACGCCGAGGATGCCGTCTCATGGTGGATTCTATGAGAGGGCTGCCGGGATTCTAAAATCAGCATTGATCAAGACCCTAGGGCGAAGCCTAATTGGTTATGAGGAGTTTCGTACCGTCTTATGTGAACTCGCAGCCATTATCAACGAGCGGCCGTTAATGTACGTTTCCAATGACGCGAACGAGCCGACTTCTATAACCCCTGCGCATTTTCTCCGAGGTGGTTCCTTCCACCGCAGTTACGCTGGTCCGGTGCAGAATGATAAACTACGCAGTGACGAGTTGGCCACAGCCGACGATCTCCGGCGAGGACTCGCCTTGAGGACGACGTATTTCAAGAGTGTCTCTGTGCGATGGTTCAGGGAGTACCTGTCACTCCATCGATCCGCAAACGCGACGCGTGGCAAGCGATCGCCTCCAATCCGTGTCGACGACGTTTGCATCCTCAGAGAAGACATCGTCGCTCGGGTACGATGGCCGTTGGTTCGCGTCATCGAGGCGCACGCTGGTAGGGACGGCCTGGTTAGAACCTATACTGTGAAATTCGCCGATAGCCATACATCGCGCAGAGCCGCTCAGCTCTTGTACCCATTGGAGGTTACATCCGAAGATCTTCCGAGGCTCCCTACGTCTGATTCGAATGACACTGTTACAGCTCCGCCGGAGTGATTACTTGTGATATCGCGACACCTCGTACATCTGTTTATATTTCGGAGAAATCATTGTGATCCGTTGTAAACTAATGGGAGAAACGCGAGCGTTTCCGGGGGCAATGTAAAGAATATTCGTACCGTGCGCGTCAGGTGCGCTCGTGTGGCGCCCTCGCTCTCAAGATAAACAATAAGATAACAACAAGTTGTGCCGATAAGGAACTTCGTCTCGTCATGATCATGATTCCCCTCTGAATACAAACCCAAATAATTCACACCTCCGATATCCATCACGTGGGTCTGTTCTACTGTTGAGAGTCGGTACAGAGAGACTACAATTGAGGAACCTATCGTAGTTCGCACATGCTCGGAATTTCTCAATAGATACACGACGAAGTCTCCTCGGAGGTTGTTGTTGTTGTCAAGTAACCTCGATGTTCAGGTTCCATTCTTTGGCTGGATTCTCTTGGCTCGAAGTTCAACGTTATCTAGAATTGCCATAGGTTATGGGCCCAGAGCACCTAATCTAAGATCGTTGTTGTTTGATCGTGATCAAGAACAAGAAGATTTACAAGAGGCGGGAATAGAAGACATTCAGAAGATTTGGAGAGTTAT